ACTCATGCCACATAGGGGCAAATTTGCTCGGTTCTATCGCATTTGCCTCGACGCGAGCTTTTCTAGAGATGACTCTTCTACTTCCCTCTTCTAGTTTTTTGCTTGATAATAGAGCGAGCCTGTGAAACATATCCACGATTAAATGCGAAGAAACCTTCGAGACAAGATTTACCATGTTTGGAGCTGTGTAGAAGGGATGGATTGAGAGATGAGATTTAAAATAACACATACAATGTATGTTTTTCACGAGTCTAAAAAATGATATGCTAACCCAGTAGTTTTTCTGCAATGGCCACGACCAAAGTAAAGCCTCCATAGGCCAAGCTATAACACAAAAAGGAAGACCTGGAGGTGAAGCAAACAATACATCTTCCAACTTCAGTTTCTTAGCGTCTTCATGACAGGTGCACCTCTTCAGTAACTTGCCAGAACTCGCACATAAGCTGGTGAGTGAGAAGGGACTCCCTTGGGACTATGGATGTTTGTGGGCATTTGAAACAAGCCTCATCCTGGACTTCTTTAACAGTGTGAGAGGTTTTGGTTTGGGGGCACAAGAACATTTTGGTGACAAGCAACAGGATGATGAATTTCCAAAATTGAAGGGGAGTTCCTTGATTCTTTTCCATCCCTTCTCATGGCCCCTGCTCATTCCGCAATACAGTCATAAAGGGCATTTGCAGTAAGTTGGAGACAAGTGTGGTGTTTAAAATATAAAATATATAAATATAAACATTATAATATAAATAGTGTAAAATATAAAATATTAATAAATACAAAATATTACAATACAAGATGATTATCTTATGGAAAATAGTAAATATCACTAATTAATAAGAAATATAAATAAAAAGAAAAGAATCATACATGATGACTTCATATTAAAATAAATAAATAACTTAACAAACAGTTGTGCTTATTTTTTAACAGGAGGAGCAGGAACTGAAAAATCAATGCTTTTAAATACATTTATAGAAACACTCAAATGATATTATAAAAAAAACCAAGATATCAATAATCAACTAGGACAAACAGTATTAATAGCAGCACCTAGAGGAAAAGCAACTTATAATATAAATGGTTCAACAAAACATTCAATTTTTGCATTTCGATTAAAAGCATCAAAACAATGTCAAATAATATTAACAAATGACACATTAGATAAATATAAGAGAAAGCTTTCAACAATAAAATCTTTAGTACCTTCACAAGGAATGATGGAAAACATTGATCACAGCAAGCAAACAGTCATTCTAAGACAAACTTGTGGAATCACAGTGCAAAGCACAAAATCTTCTTTCAACAAAAGAAATGACAAAATTTTCATCAAGTTGGAATGAGTGTGAACTATCCAATATATAGTAGATGCCAAGTTTTGGAAAATGTAATGCATAATCTCCACAATTGCCAATTACTCACACAATCTTAGAGTTGTGGCCTGCTCTCGGAATCATGGCCAGATTTTCCAATTACACTAACAACGCAGCCTTGACACCACTACCACCAACAATGTAAGCCACCACAAAAATACATATAACACAGAATATTAATCTATATTTGCAGCTAACAAATAAGTAAGAGAACATAATGAAAAAAATAATACAACACATACAAGATAAAAATATAATTATAGAAGTACAAGACAAACATGGAAATTCTTGTCTTATTACCAAATGACATAAGAAAAACACAAGAACTATATAAAATAATCTATAGCAACTATCAACAATAATCTATAGCAATAGAAGATAGATTAGTAAATAGAGCAGATGGAGTATTACAAGATGTAACTCAGATTGAAGAAGAACAAATAATATGGATAGAATTCCCAAATATAAAAATAGGTAAAAAAAACAAGAGCTAAAGAAAACATAATAATAAAGCAAAATAATGAAAAACAAAACTGGACACCAATGAAAAAAACAAGGATTACAAATATTACTGAAAATTAAAATTATGTTATAAGTAAAACCTATTTCCGAGTACAGCCATGCACAGGAAGAACAATACATAGAGCACAAAGACCAACAGTTATGCAATTAGGATATGACTCATATAAAACAAAATATCCAGGACAAGTATATACAACATTATCAAGAGCATAAACACTAAAAGGTATACATTTATACAGACCAATTGAATATAAACATATTATAATCAATAAAGATGCAGCTAAAGAAATAATCAGAATGACAACAGAAGCACCATGGCAAATTGATTTGATAAATTTACCAATTATACAAGTTCTAAACACAACATCTATTATTGCTTATTGCTTATTACTGCACATCAAGAAGATATAAAGAGTGATTCACAATTATTAACATCAGGTATAATATGTATGCAAGAAGTAAGAACACAAAAACATGAGGATTTATATTTTAATAAATATAAATCATATATACATAAACAATATTGCATACAAATGGTTATAAATCAGAAAAAATAGAACATTTAAAAACAGAAACAATGGCAATGTCGTATATATCACTAGAAAAAAAATTACAGATAATAAATTAACATAGAAAACCTGGAAAAATATACAAATATTCATAAAACAACTACAACAATATATACAGAAAATAGATAATAAAAAACCAGTAATAATTATAGGAGATTTCAATATTGATTATCAAAAAGAAGAAGCAAAACCACTTCAAACAATAATAGAGAAAGAAGGATACATACAAATAATAAAAAACTAATAGATCTTATATGGATAAAAGATATAGTATATACAAAAGCAGGAGTAGTGCATACTGAACAGATCATAATAAATTATATATCATAATAAAAAGTATTTAAAAACAAAAGCAAACCTAGCATTGCTGCATTGCAATACACAGCAATTTTATTATATACTTTTAAGATTAATTTGATTATTACCAATCTATAATAATTAAATTAAAAATTAGGAATATTCATAAATATTCCTTTAAACCGATTTGCATATCTAGCTGTTGGAGTTATCAGCGTCAACTAGAATCTCTTAATAAAAGGATCTATCAAGAGGATTGATGAATAAAACATCTTGCTATCTTGTTCTCGATTCTATCTTTCTTTCCAATACACTCTTTGAAGTCTTTATCAAGCTTTAATTGCGTGGTACGTAGTGACCTTGCATGGCAAAGTGGGAGTTCATGGCTTCAAGAGAAGAAATGCGATCACGTCACTACTCTTTCCCAAAGTCTGTATTGGCAAGAAAATTCTCACTGTAGAGTAAGAGTAGTGTTACTTGGTCGAGTATAAATACACAATGTGTATGCACTCGTTTAGTTCCATCTCCCATTTGTATTTCCTCCATGATGGCTTCTAAAAGCTTTGTTGCTCTTGCCATTGCCACTGTAGTCTTGATGGCGCCAAGCCTGGGAATTCTCAACACAGGTATGCACCAAAAACAAAAAGAGCGTAAGAAGATAACTTTTCACTGTACCATTATGAGGATGACTTCTCTCCTTTGTCTCACAATCCAGAATTGGCTTTCCATGATAACGGCGAGCTTCCACCTGATTTTATTGCAGTGGCATCGCCAGGGATCTATAACAATGGAGCACATTTACCGCCATTTACTGCACATTTCCTGTGCCGTAGTTGTGAAGCTCTGAGCAGGCATTGCAAGAATCAATAATATGAAAGTTCACTTAGCATTGTCAGCTGACCGGAGTCTTATGGGAGTCTCAAAACCGACATGAGCTACACGATCAATTTACAAAAACAAAAACCATCAACAAGTACAAAACTTACAGACGGAACCTCGGGTGCAGAATAAACTCCTAGAGTTTTCTGAGGGCATTTTCTTCCTGGAGGCCGTGTTGAATCATTGGCAACTGGTGAGTGGCGATCCATGCATGAAATAAATATGGTTGTGGAGCTAGCCTGGACCAGATTACAGATCAGCCAGCTTGCTCATGGCATGGTTCTAGGCATAGTTGCCGGAAAACGTATGAAACTAAAAAAACATAACGTTTTAAACGCGTTAAAAAATGCCGTTCTAAACTCCCAACGCGTTTGCACTATTTGCGAAAAGAGACAAAGGTTTCTTTAGGGTTTCTTTAGGGTTTCTTCAGGGTTCATGTAGTCATGGCAGGAATTGGAGGATGCCACGAATGCTGGAGCTGGAAGCATGTGATACGAGCAGAGCGGCACTGGACATGTAAGTATTGTCATGAGATTCACACTGGGGGAGCGGAGCGAGTGCGAGCACATCTTGCTGGAGTTCAGGCAAGAGGTGTGAAAACATGCAAGGCAATGAGGGAGATCCCTTATGAAGTTCTTAAAAAACCTCGCAGCAGTTTTTCCGATTTTGAGCTAGCAGACCCAGCAGATGCCGATGATGGGCATCTGCTGCAGCAAGCTGCACAGGGTTCAGGGGGGCAGCAGAATCTATGGTGGCAAGCACAGAGAGCTGGTCCAGTGCTGGGACAAGCAGAACAGCGAAATGGCTTTTTCTTTCATTTGTTTTAGTATGGGTTTTATAAACTTAATATCAGATTAAAGTGTCTTTAGTAAATATTAGTGTTTTCTTAATCATTTTAGGCTTTAACATGTAAACGTTTGATTGTCCTGAAAAAAACGTTTTAAACGGCATTTAAACATGGACGCATTTGAACGTTTGCATGTCTAGCTGCAACTATGGTTCTAGGGAAGCTGATGATTTGAATGAAGCTGCAAGCTTGGATCAGTGGCTGCCAGGCCTTAGAGGGTGCAATCCAAGCTTTGCAACTGGAATCCATGCAATGAAGCTTCCAAGGAAGCTCTTGCTGCAGTTTGAAAGGGCGAGTGTTAAGAGGGCTTGGGAGCATCTAGTTTGCTCCACTTGGCTACAGAGTTTCTCTTGCTTTCAATGCTTGTCCATACCAGCATTCCTATTATCCAGGAAAGGTAAAGAAATGATGAAGCGTTCCAAAATTAATAGTGGCAAGCTTATTTGAGAAATAAATATAAACAACAAATTTAAACTATGAGTACATGGAATATGGAAATAAAATATAGAAATGTGCATATCAATTAGCCAAAAAATCCTAGCTTATTTACATGGTTCGAATTGAAACCAATTTTAATGGCTACCAAAATCTCATTACACTAATATTAGTATACAGTATCATAGTTATACACTTAGACCTCACATCATCCCTTCTTTTCGGAATGATGGAAGACTATTAAAGTTTTTTTTATGGATGGGCCAAAATCTGAAAGAACATCAAGAAGAGGCATCAATGGATTTATAGGTGGTGTTAGTCATTCTTGATCCCTTTGTAAAAAGTGTTTCAACTATTGCATATACACAATTTTTGCAAAATCAACTTGTTGGACGTCATGCTAAACCTTATAAATTTGTGGTTTAACTTGCCACAACACCAAATATAGTACTTTCCATTGAGTAAGGAGCCCTTTAGATAAATCACATACCATAAGATTGGGAAAATCAACTAACATCAGGTCATCCACTTTGTACTTTATAGGTGGACGATGATGGGAGTTATAATGCTATTGTTGTCTCACTTGTACACAACTTAGGTGTTCAGCAAACTTTGCTCGGCTAAGTGGAAGAATGTTTGTTAAATATTGATCCCACAACATAGCATTATCAACTCATGGACCTTCATTTAAACATTCACCAATAAAACATTGTTGATGCCAAGGTCTCCACCTAGGAAATAGAACTAATCCAAAAAACACTAACAACTCCAATTAATGTGACCAACTTTATTATATGCCCAATAACAAATATCACAACCATGATCTTATCCTTGCCCTTATCCTTAAACTTGGGAAATAATAGCATTAACTTTCATTGAAATAGGATTATCTCCCACATATTGTGAAGGTAAAGGATGTGTAGTAAAAAGTGGAAAAGACAATGTCTTATAACGTTGTGTTGCCAAGTGAAGAGCATAATCAAGGGTGGTTGGAGCAAGTGCATTCATAAGTTCTATAAAATTTTAACGAAATGCTAACTATTCTCAATTTGATTCATTTCGACATATTTAACTTCACATGAAGTAAAAGGCTCTAGAACCAAATGCCAAATTGCATCACAAACTCAAATGGCCCTTGATAAAAAGGATGCAATTGTTAAAAGGCACTGTCACAATTGTCAGCATGTCTAAATATTTATTTGAAGACATTTTGGAAAATGCTTCAATCCTCACGAGTGGCTGCGCTTAAACCATTGTACCATTGAAACACTATCCCTTGGAGACACATGGGAAATTCACATAAACATTGAGTATCATCCCAAGAATAATATGTGGCAATTATCATGAAGTGATCAAACCAATGGTATACATTATCCCTAATATTCCCATGGAAGAACTCTAGTTGGACTTGAGGATTGGCAATAAGAGTATGAGGAGTTGTACCATGCGTTGTGAATGTTACTATCAATTGAGTTTGATTGTTCAATTACAATTGCATAATATCAAACAATTACAACAACTACTGCTCGAGTCAAAAGAGGAGGAAACTACTACTTTACTATAAAGATGAATGAAAAGGAAAGAGTAGAAAAGAAGAAGGTGAAAAAAGCTATAAAAAAAAAAAGAGATCTCAACAATACAAAAGCTAAATCTAAAGTAGAATCCTAAATTCAAATACTCCTCAAGGATAATTAAAGTTACCCTTTATCTCCACTAATGAGAATGCATAGAATATAGAAATAGAATATAAAAATGTGCATATCAATTAACACAAAACCCCTAATTTATATATAGGAGCAAAAGGTCTAGATTGAAACCAATCTGATAGTTATTAAAATTCTACTACGCTAATATTAATATATGGCATCATAGCCGTACACTTGGACCTCATAAAAATATTTTAAATCTATTTTAATAAAAATACTTTCCTCTTTAAATCTAATAGAATTTTCACAATATTTTGATTTTAGATATTATGCTCATATTAAGAAAGTTTCTCCATGCTTCTTTCTGGATAGTATTTAGGATCTCACCAAAATAGGTGAAAATGATAGTCTTAATTAGGACCACCATTCACTAGCTCCATGTGCACTATGTTTGAATTTTTGGTGCACGAAACCAAACATTAGATGCTTACATTGTGCTATAAAATGGCTTGCTCTAGAGTGTTAGCAAGCAGCAGTTTTGGGCTAGCTAGATATATCATAATTCTGTTCTAATGGCTTATACCAATGCTCTAATCTTCCTGACTTCTTTCATTGCCTTTGCTGCAAGCATTGCAGTGGCACAAACTTCAGCCCCTCCCACTCCACCCCCTGCCTCCCCTCCCGCTCCAGCCACTCCTCCAGGCACTGCACCCCCTCCAGGCACTCCCCCTCCCACTCCAGCAACTCCTCCTCCAGGCACTCGACCCCCTCCACCCCTTCCAAAGGCAGGATGCTTCCCAGGTAGGGTTCATGTGAATTCACTTTTTGTCTTACAATTTTCAAGCTATTATAGGAGATGCAACTGTTCAGATGTATAATGGAGAAATTAAGTTCGTAAGGGAGCTTAATGTCGGAGACAAGGTTGAATACTTTCACATAAATTTACAAATCTTGTCCAAGTATAACTTTTCCACAGGTTGCAGTAGGCAAGAATATCTATTCAGATGTGTATGCATTCGGCCACAAGGATGCTGATGTCATCTCCAAGTTTTTCCAAGTGCATAGCGCTTCAAACATGTTGGAACTCACTGCAGGCCACTTTGTTCCCATTGCTGTCAATGGGAAGCTCGTGTACAAGAGAGCCGAGGACCTCAAGGTTGGAGATTCCCTGTGGGAATCATCTAAAATCACTGGTAAGGAAAGCAAAAAGCATATATATTGGTGGGATGTTTCTAACAATTCTGCGCTACTTCTCCAGAAATCTCAAAGGTTGAGAAGCTAGGCCTCTACAACCCACTCACTCTCTCTGGCAGTATCATGGTGAACAATGTTCTAGCATCCACTCACAGCGAGTGGTTCTTAGACTCCATCTTTGATGCTGTCGGTGCAACCGAGTACCTGCCATACGCATACCAGGCCGTGCTTGCTCCAGTTCGCGCCATCTACAACATCGTGGGCAAGGAAATTTATGCAAAGGGCTATGCTGCCATCGATTCCTTCACCAACATTGCTGAGTTTGGAACGAAGTATGGAGGAAGCGTTGCTCTCGCCCTTGGAATTGCTGGTCTTGTGCTGGGCTCCAAGGTGTAAACAATTTTGGCAAGAATAAAATTTGGAAATACATACAAACGTACAGTGCACAGACAATTATTGGGTACCTCTCACACCACCAGTAGACCAAATGTCCACTACACCGCGTTTGTTTTGTTTTGCTAACATAACTAAAACACTAAAGTTGGCATTTTATAGACATTGGCCAATTTAAATAAATTTATTATGATATTCTTTGAATTTTAGGCATTTATAATGATTAAGGAAAATATTATCATTTTATTATTATTACGGGGTTATAGGAGCTGGATAATGGTAATCTGCCCTAGCCTCACTCCACTTAATCAGTCTTCTCTTGAGTTCCAGTCCCGAAATTCATAAACTTTTAGTGGCACTATCACTTAGTAGTATCAAAAGGATGTTGATTAATCTAGTGGGCCATTTGAAGCTATTAGGTTTAAAATATATGTTTTAATTTACTTCCACCTCCAGCACATATAGTATATTTAAAAACCAGATTTTTTAAAGAAAACTAAAATTGTTGTGCATCTTATTTAACTAAATATTATTTATTATTACTTATCTCCTATTTTAGTGTTATTCCTGTTTTGGTATATATTGTACTTTATATCTATAGTTCCTTCTATTTTTTTAATACTTGATTTAAGTATTGTGAGTGCATGGAATATAGAAATGAAATACAAAAATGTGCATATTAATTAGCCTAAAAACCATAGCTTATATATAGAAGTTAATGGTTCGAATTAAAACCAAATTGACAACTACTAAAATCCCACTACACTAATATTAGTATATAGCATTGTAGCCTACATTTGGACTTCACATCCATCGTAGCAATACATTTAAACCTCATATCATCCCCTCCTCTCAAAATGATGGAAGATTGTCAAAGTTTTCTCATGGATGGGTCAGGATCTAAAAAAACATCAAGAGGAGACATTGGTAGATCTATGAGTGATGACAATTTTCCTTGATCTCTTTGTATGAAGTGTTTTAGCCACTGTATATATATAATTTCTAGATAATTAACTTGCTAGACATCATGCCAAACCTTATAAACTTGCATTTCAACTTGCTATAACATTTAATACAGTCCTTTCCACTAAGCAAAGAGCCCTTTAGATAAACTATATATTATAAAATTAGGAAAACAGATTAACACTAAGTTATCCACTTTGCATTTTATAGATGGACGATGATGGGAGTTGTAGTGCCGTTATTGTCCCACTTGTATACGGCATAGATGTTTGGTAGACTTTGCTCGAACAAGTGGAAGAATGCTTGTTAAATACTGATCCCATGACTTAATATCAACAATTCATGGTAATTGCGAAGGTAAACCTAATTCCATTGGTAGTATTAGATCATGATCATATAAGAGTTTATATAGTGAAACATTAACAGAATTCTACCCCTTTATGACATATGCATAATAAAGAGATGGAAAATAACCATCTTAATCCAAATGCTGAAAGTTCATATACTTCATGATCATCTTTTTAAAAGTTCAAAAAAACTATTTTACTAAACCGTTTAATTGTGTTTTTTAATTGTAACTACATAGTATCAAGTAATTGCACCAATTAGTGCTTCACAGTCAACAGAGGAGGAGGCTACTGCTCTACCATAAAAATGAACAAAAAGGAAAGAGCAATAAAGAATAAGGTGAGAAAAGCTATAAGAAAAAGAAGATTTAAATAATACAAGAGTTAAATTTAAACTAAAATCCCAAATCCTAGCACTCCTCAAAGACAATAAAATTGCCCTTAATCTCCACCAATGTTAGTGTATAGAATATAGAAATGTGAATATTAATTAACTTAGCTTATATATAAAAGCAAGTGATCTGAATTAAAATCAATCTAACTACCAAGATCCCACTACACTAATATGCTGTATACTTGGATCTCATAGTATTAGTGTTATAGTTTATATATCATTTTTATTTGTTAATCTATAATTTAAAGAGAGTTCTAACCTTTAAAAAATAAACTTTAGAATTCCCAAATTAAATTTAATTTGGTGCCAAAAAAAAACAATCAAGCTGCTTCCAACTTTACTCCTGCAGATCTTATGAAAGTACAATCCACAATCTTACATGATGCTTTCTCATGATTTGTGACACAGACAAGCCACAAAAGAGACTATAAGAGACTATACCTGTGAAAAAAATTTCAACACCACCTTCATTATACAGTAGACACTTTCATCACATTCACCTTGAGATTTTTGTGTTGTTTCCATGACACTCAGTGCGTCCTCTCCTGCAATGCATGAATGAGCCTCAGGATTGTCACAATCCCGTTGGTGAAGTACTTGAACAGTGACTAGACTTTGCTGATGAGTTTCAAGCTACCACCTTTCCTAGCTTGTGCAGTGCAGGGAAGAAAGACTATATCTCGAGCGAGATCCCTCTTCTTGTTCATGAAAAGGAAAGGATTTTCATTCAAATGAAAGCACCTAGAGTTTCATGTCATCCTCTCGTCCTCAACTCACAAAAAGAACTTAGAAGTGTCAGTTAAAGAATTTTAAATTTTAAACTGTTTTCACATGTGATTGGTTTCCTAGCCCCAGGAAAACACCAAATTCCATGGTGAGGATATAGTCTCGTGAAACTTATGCTTGTTGCTTATGCACAAGCTCAAAAAGCTCTCGAGGTCATTGCTCTCATGCCATGGACAAGATCACACAGGCTCTAACTTCATGGGGCAGGGCAGCATGAAATCCTTCCAGCCGCTAAAAGAACAAGAACATGAAGATTATACAGAAAAGGTAATAGAAGATCTATAGATGAAACAAACAAGCGTAACAAAAATAATTAAATAAGAAGTGGATTGTCTGATTTTGATCAACGTGTTCCACAAAAACTGACAACATGAATCTACACAAGCTAAATTCTATGTGACACTGAATCCTAGTGATTGAAAGAAAAACAGTGCATTGCGGCCAAAGCATGAGATTTTCCAACAATTACTAATATTCTAAGAATATTCTCAAAACAGAAGAATGTAGAGGTTTTAAATGCTAGAAAATTTAGGGCACTCTATCTTAGGGTTCTTGACAGGGGAAGAAATGCAAGCCCCAGTGCAGCCGAGGAGCGGCCGCTTGGATTTCCTCAACGCCAAGCCGCCGCCCAACTATGTGGCCGGATTGGGGCGCGGCGCCACCGGATTCACCACTCGATCCGACATCGGCCCCGCCAGGGCAGCGCCGGATCTCCCCGACAGGTCGGCCACCGCCATTGGCGGCGCTCCAGGGCCGGGCGGCGGCGTCGGGCGCGGCAGAGGCAAGGCGCCACCTCTTGGCGGAGGAGCGGCGGCAGCGGCGGCGGTAGACGACGACGACGATGCCGACGACAAGGGCTACGATGAGAACCAGAAATTCGATGAATTCGAGGGCAACGATGTGGGGCTCTTCGCGACGGGTGAGTATGACGAGGACGACAAGGAGCCCGACCAGATATGGGAGAGCGTGGACAAGAGGATGGATTCGCGGCGCAAGGACCGGCGGGAGGCGCGGCTCAAGCTGGTGATCGAGCAGTACCGAGCTTCCAATCCCAAGATCACGGAGCAGTTCGCGGACGTGAAGAGGACGCTGCTGGATCTTCCGGCGGAGGAGTGGGAAAACATCCCCGAGGTTGGCGACTACTCTTCCAGGAACAAGAAGAGGCGGTTTGAGAGCTTTGTGCCCGCGCCGGACACGCTGCTGGAAAAGGCTCGGCAGGAGAAGGAGCACGTCACTGCGCTGGATCCTCGCAGCCGCGCCGCCGCTGGAGTTGGCGGCGCTGCTACTGCCGGCGGCGCGGAGACACCGTGGTCGCAGACGCCGGTGACGGATCTTACCGCGGTCGGGGAGGGGCGGGGGACTGTTCTGTCGCTCAAGCTGGATCGGCTGTCCGACTCGGTGAGTGGGCTCACGGTGGTGGATCCGAAAGGATACCTCACCGATCTCAAGAGTATGAAGATCACGAGCGACGCCGAGATCTCCGATATCAAGAAGGCGAGGTTGCTGCTCAAGTCGGTGATCCAGACCAATCCAAAGCATGCTCCCGGGTGGATCGCGGCCGCGCGGCTGGAAGAGGTGGCGGGGAAGATCGCTGCTGCGAGGAGTTTCATCCAGAAGGGATGCGAGGAGTGTCCCAAGAACGAGGACGTCTGGCTCGAGGCCTGCCGGCTGGCCAGCGGCGATGCGGCCAAAAAAGTGATCGCCATGGCGGTGAAGTCCATCCCGACGTCCGTGAAGCTGTGGATGGCGGCTGCGCGGCTCGAGGTGGAAAACGCCGCCAAGAGCCGTGTTCTTCGCAAGGGACTCGAGTTTATACCCGACTCGGTCCGGCTGTGGAAGGCGGTGGTGGAGCTGGCGAACGAGGACGAAGCGAGGATCTTACTGGCTCGCGCTACCGAGTGCTGCCGTCTCCACGTCGAGCTCTGGCTAGCGCTTGCGCGGCTGGAAACTTACGACAAGGCGAGGGTGGTGCTCAACCGAGCTCGCGAGGCGCTGCCAACGGAGCCAACAATCTGGATCGCTGCGGCGAAGCTGGAGGAGGCACAGGGGAACGTTTCGCGCGTGGAAGGCATCATCGACCGCGCGATACGATCTCTCCAGCGGGTCGGGGTGGTGATCGACCGCGAGTTTTGGATGAAGGAGGCGGAGGCGGCGGAGAGGGCCGGGTCGGCGGCGACGTGCGTGGCGATCGTGAGGAGCACCATCGGGATCGGTGTGGAGGAGGAGGACAAGAAGCGGACGTGGGTGGCGGACGCGGACGAGTGCCGGAAGCGGGGCTCGATCGAGACGGCGAGAGCTATCTACGCTCATGCTCTGGCTGCGTTTCCCGGGAAGAAGAGCATCTGGGTGAAGGCGGCGCAGCTTGAAAAGAGCCACGGAACGAGAGAATCGCTCGAC